AACTTTATACATCTCTCTTTCTCTTACTTAGAATTCTGTTTTAAAAAATTATGGGAAAAAAGTTTTGGATATGTATGTATAAGCTTTGTATATATATATATATATGTATATATTCCTATTGAAAGATCTTTCTATTCTTATCTATAAATGTAGCTTTAAAAATTGAGTAAAAAAGAGCACTTAAAAGTCGAGCGCGGAAATCGATGCGCAAAGTAAAACGATATATGTATTTAAAAAATTTTATATGTACAATGTACATATATGTTTCGCCTCATTTAATTTTGAGCCTTCTTCGGAATAAAATTGAAAAAAAATATCTGACTCTAATATCATTACTTTAATTTATCAAGTTTATAATAATAATATTACGATTTATCTAATGATAAGCAAATATTTAAAAAAACAATTTTTTTGTTTTCATAAATTTTGTCCAATAAGTAATTTTAATAATACAATTTGACATATGCGTCTATTTAAAACTCTACTAAGTCTTGCCAAGTGAATTGTTAACATATTTCGATCTATAATGTAGTTGATAGAACCCAGATAACATTTATGTTGCAAATATAAAAGATATTTTTTAAACGTTTTATGTCTAAAAGATGTCTAAAAGATATCTTATGCAACATAAATATTATCTGGGAATATATTTTAAATGATCCTTAGTGGTCTTTATATTTTTTGTTGCGACATTTATCATTATATTTCATTTTTATCAATTTATTCATATAAATATATTAAAGAGCACGAGCATAGTATGGTGAACAACATGCGAGTCTATCATGTTAGAGGACTCAGATTCCATCCCTGGCAGATTCAAGAAATTTTTCACGTAATTCTTCTTCAGTGGTCTGGCAAACCATCAAGAGTATCTATTGCCAAGAAAACGGAAAGACGGCCGGTTAGATAGTGTCTCTATGAAACATATACATATCAAACATAAACAAAATTTGACTTTACAATACCAAGATTATTTTCAATCTATTATTATTCTTTAGTCAGCGTTTGTCTATCGTGACAGTACATATATTACATATATTTTTATCTTGAGACGTATCTTAAATATTCTTATACAGGACTCGGTCTTATTTCAAATAAATTTATTTAAAACGTATATTTTAAATAAAGAAAAAATTAAAACGTTATTATTTATTATTTTAATTAACTTCTTCTGACTATTTCTTATTTAATATTTCTTACTGTTTGTATTTACTATTTGAAACGTTTATTTAAAGTACATATTTCTTATCTTATATTTTAAATAATTTCTTGTGACCTATTTCTTATTTAAATAAGTTCTTAGAAGCTATTTTATATTTTTTATTTCAAATAAGTCGTATCAATTACTTTACCGACTCTTACAATTTTATATTTTAAATAAGTTTTTGAAACTATTTTTTATTTTTTGTTTTAAATAAATCAGTTATTTTACCAAGCTCTTATATATGATTTTAATTTTATATATTATTAATTTTGTGTATCATGATCAACTTATTTCTATATTGACCGTAATATCGCTATTTTACTTGTATCTTCTCGACATGCGAAACATAACTATGGTCAGTTCAGGTAATTTCTTTTTACCAGAGACGTATTTATTTGTTTTTCATCATCATACAATTCATTTAATTTATTTCTAATTTAACTTTTTACTAGAACATTAGCAAATTTTAAACAATTGGTCGTCTAATCGCTTGTAAGCAATTTCCGTCTCTAAAATATTTCTTGGTAATAGCGGTTTAGACCGGTTATTTAAAATTTGCCAATGTTCTGATAAAAAGTCAAATTAGAAATAAATTAAATGGATTCTACAATGACGAAAAACAAACAAATACGTTTCTCTGATAGAAAAAACTCACCACTAGCTATATAGTTATGTTTCGCCTGTCGCATGTCGAGAAGATATTCATCAATTTATATTAAAAGTATGATCGTTTATAATAAGAAAGTGTAATAGTCAAAAAATAAATTAACGATATCATAGTCAATGTAGAAATAAGTTGATCATGATATAAAATTAATAATATATAAAATTAAAATTATATATAAGTATATTTAAAATACTCTCGAGGTAAAAATATATGTAACTATAACACTGACTGAAGAATAATAATAGATGTGAAAATAGTTTTGGTATTGCAAAGTCAGATTTTGTTTATGATGTCAGTATGTATGCCTTGTGGAAATCCTCCATATTTTTTTGGAGATTAAGATTTTTTTTCTTTATTTTTCGATGTTTAAAAACATTGTATAAGTTCAAAATGTGTAATATAACATGTAATATATTTATGAAACATTTATATGAAATATATTATATTTGATTTTTTTTTAATTAATTACAGAGTATATTTTTCGTTGGAATTTTAATGTTTTAAAAAATTTTTATATTTGACTCTTATATGTCTTAAATATTCTTTATATTACTTTTGAGAAAATTGTTGTTCTGTTAAGAAATATTTTTTCCTTATAAAATACATATTAGATTGATTATAGACAAAGGATATTTAAAGAATCGTTTCAGAATTATTAATAGTATTATATATTAAATATAAAGGCACAAACAATAAAGGAGTACTTTTCTACTTTCTATAAATTCCTACAGTATCAAGATGTTTCATTCATTGTCTATACGTTTGATATACAGACAATTATATCTCACGCCAACAATCGCCATAGAATTACTCTCGGAGATGGAGAAACACTTACGATAATGTTTAACTATGGATCTTTGATCTCTCTCGAACTTAAATAATTTAATTATAACTCTATTCACAACCTTATAAGAAAAACGTTCACAATGTATTTATTCTTCTTTTACATAAATGGAACGCTATTATTCTCAATGCTCATGTTGACGATTCATTCGGTTAAATAAACATGTATTAACGTCTCGATATGACCATGTATAAAATTCTCGATATGAAAATTGTTAACAAGTTCAAAAACATAATTTTCTTCGTAAGTCTTTCGATACATTTTATAACTAGATATACTGCTTTTATACAATTTTCACTATCTAACATCTTTATCTCAACGTAGAACAGTGATAAGTACGTTTGATGTCGCTCGCGCATGAAAACGCCGTCAATTATTAAATCGTAAAATTCTCACACTGTTATAACATTATACATTTATTACATATATCACTACGTAATGTTTCTCTACGCATATCGGTATATCTATATATCGTGTGTACATAAATATGCACACGATATTGACCCATGATTTGATCCCAAGGAGTAATTTGAGATTAGGCCTGAAATTTGGATGTATTAAATATTGTATAAATTTCTACCGTTTTCGGATCGACGATTGTTCTTTTTGGAATGTTCAATGCCACAGAATCAAAAAGAAAAAAAAAAAACAAAAAGTTGACCAATTTTCTTTGCTGTGGATTGTATCGTCATTATCGGATATTAATTATTTTGTACTTCCACACCCTGTCTAAGAGAAAAATTGTATTCCAGGATGTGCTATACAATCAAAATCGTATAAAATTTACGAAGGATTTATGAAAGATTCGTCAAAATGTCTGACAGCACCTATACTGGACTATTATTAAAGATTACTGCTACAAACTAAACTATAAGATTTTTCCAACGTTACCCTGAATAGATATATACAGTGTTGAGCATTGTTCTTGATTTCCTAAATTATACAATACAGTTCTATCGAAAGAAATCGATCGTTAGGCAAGAGGACTTCAATGTATCGTCGTATGTTTTCAGTTATGGTGTATACAATAATACACATTATAAATATAACCATAACTTATAGGAAAATATAAAACAGACTGTATAAAAGAAGAGTTATACTTAAATATAAAGTTCCAGTTATACTGTGACTCGCGCTTGCCAATTACTATACGTTTTAAATAATGTGCGAAAAGAAAAATCATGATGGATGAATCTTAAGAAAATCATACATAAAGGATCTGCTATCGGAATTATTTGGAATATTTCGATGTGTTCAGAGAAACGCTGGACGAGTGAATACGTCGTGATGGCGCCGGGCTAGCTGGAGCCGATGGAGACGGTCCAGTGGGTGTTGTCGGCTTGGAACCTCTTCTGCTTCGTCTTAGAGTAGAATATGGGCTAATGCCCCGATTAACGTGCTCATGAGCATAAAGTAGCACTCCAATATCCCGATTACCCGCCTCCAAGGCGATCTTCAGAGCCGAACTGCCATCTACGTCGACTATAGATGGATCGCAGTCCGGATGTGCAAGGAGCAATCTCACGATCTCAGTGTGGCCGTGTTCCGCTGCGCACATTAGCGCGGTGCTACCGTCTTCATCCTGGATATTAACTGCTGCTCCAGCATCTAGAAGCAGTTGCGTCATATCCTTACGTCCGTGTGATACTGCCAACATCAGCGCAGTTTGTCCATGCTGTTTGCACAGAAAAAAATTAGAGAATTATAAAGAGAATTATATTTTAGAAAGAGTGGAAGAAAATTTTCCTTATTATTTTCATATAATGCTTCTATTATATTTATTATAATGTAGCTGAGCTTACCAATTTTGCTCGGATGTTGACGTCAGCAAGCTGGAACAATCTATTCGCTACCGAGGCGTGCGTGGAATTTCTGACTTCTGCCAGAGCAGCTAACATCACAGCCGTGTAACCAGCCACGTTCGCCTTATTAATATCGCAGACTTTCGAATCTAATAATATAGACACCACGTCGAAATTGCCATGAGAGACCGCATAGTGCATCGCTGTATTTCCACTGGTGTCCGTCATATTGACAATGTACTCCAGCAGAGTGCTGGAGCATTCCTCAAAACGGTCCAAATAATCCTCGACATCTAACGGATTCGCGCTAGATGTGCTGGATATTTTGAACCATTCTTGTTGTATAATATTGGTAGCATTTTTAAGCTGATGAGAGATATTTCTGCTAGGTGATTTCTTGATACTGTCGTTGAGCACCTTCATAGCGGCCTGCATCTCCTTCGAGGGCTCAACCTTTTTCCTAGGCTTATCTTGAATTGGTTGAAACAAAGCTGATTCTGGTAGCTCCGATTTCTCCTCGTTATCTGTCTCCTTCTCCACGTTACACATCTCTTCTGACACAATCTTCTCATCCTTGGTTTTCTCGGATTGCAGTTGTTGAATACTGCGAGAGCCAAGAACATTTTTTTTAAATATCTGTTTAAGAATACTTGATAGATACACACACATATAATACTTATATACATATAAAACTTATCTAATTAATTATTATTTCTTTGTATATGTAAGGAAAGCTGCAAAATTTAATTCAATAAAATTAATATAATCTAATTGGCATAATCGAAAAGGTTGAATTTCAAATCTTAAATAAAAAAGATTTATAAAATATTATAAAAGTATCGTTAAGTTATTAATATTAAAATATTAAAAATTCAAAACACAATACTGATGAAATTAATGACAATAAGTATGATGCTGTAAATAGAAGTAAGATAGTGGAAGGAGGGGAAAATTACCCTTCCGTGGCCGAACAAGGCGAGATATCGGAGATTTCAAAATCGCTAAATAAACGAGAGGTGGTTTGCTGTTGCATCGATCTGTCCAGATCGAAGATACACTTATTCGTTCACCATTGCAAAACCGCCAGTACAACGTGGGACGCGCACCAATATCTGACGCTTCGACACTTCCGTCGCGGTATTTATGTGATTGTTGTGCCAGGAAGAGCACTCGATGACGCATTCGACATGCGCGCAACTATGGACTCAAAAACAACAACAAACTATCTCGGCACGCTTGGCAGACACGAAGTACGTCATACGCGGCTCTGTAATTGGCTTCGTGCTATCCTTTTCCCACCCTCTTTTACGCGAAACAACTCCCTTGCAAGCGACCTTCGACCACGGAAATAACAGATGGCGTGGAGCGTAGTCGAGCGGGAAGGGTAGATCGAGTTCTGAAGGAGTAAATACTTTGATCTATTCTTTGATAAAAAGTATAAAAATTTAAAATTATACAATAAATTTAAACTTGGCATAATTTAAAAGAATAATTATCTACAATTTGTAATTTTCTCCAATGAATATAAAGCTTTATGGAATAAAATAATATATATTTAACAATGAACGATTTATTATTAAATTAAATATATTATTAAAATAATTTATTCTCCCTAATTCATCGTTTTTTGCAGAATTTAATTTAGATATGATTAATTTGTTTTCTGGAGAATTAATAAAGATATAGAGTTGTAATCCTTAAATCTTTGTTAATTCTCCAGTATCTCATAAAAGATAAGATAAAATAAAGAGTAATTCCAAATGACTAACCGATTGCTACTGTCGTACTGCTCTTTATTGTCCGCGTCGTATCTAATCACACCGGCGGCTGATATTTTTGTGTAAGTGTCCTGGCGTTTGAATTGTCTTCTATAATCACTGGTGTTCAGAGGAATATGGGACGGCCTCGGGATCCTGGATACCATATTGCTGTTCTGATGATTCAGGCTGTTCTCGGCATTGTTTGCTATTTGCTTCGCCAAACTTTTGATTGTCTCCTTGCAATTATCGCAATAATTCGCCGCGCAAGAGATCGAGATGTGCGGCCTCACAGAATCACCGACCGACACGTCGACCAACGTCTTCTTCATCGTCGAGGTACCAAAATCTCGACACTTTGGCGTGAGACCGGAAGTATCGGTACCGCGAGCGATGGTTTTTACCAAATCCTCCACCATCACCGCTACCGACTTGCTCGCTTTTGTCTTCATTCGCGTGTCACCATAGTTGAATGAATGACTCCTCAAATTTATCCAGTTCAACGACACAGGCGGCTGCACTGGATCTGGTCCAACGCCTATGCTTCTGATGCAAGCACCGAGTTTGACTTCAATCCCGACTTCCGATGTCATCGGCTTAGCAGTTACGCTCACATGTGAGCGCATTTTAAACTGTTCTGTCACTTGAACCGACCGATCCCGCTTCTCAGCGACTTTGGGCGTTTCTGGACTGCATTGAACGCTCCTGGAGGAAGTATCTTTCATTAAATTATTCTTGTAATTCCTTAAAGCATGTTCCACAAGCAATTCAGCATCTTCTTTCGATAAAAGATCCTTCATACTTAATCTTGTTGTTGTGCCGTAAGAACGTTTTTTTATCTCCTTCTTCACTTCCGGTGCAATATCCTCAATTAGGAAGTGACTGTATTCAAGACTCCTGGATTTGTTTTCCGTATTAATACCGAAGTCTCGTGTTTTCTTTATGGTTTTGCGATTAATTACATTGTTCTCATTGTTAGGCAGTATCGATTCCACTTGAAGTGGAGTTCTCGTTAATTGTTTTTTTCGTACTTCCGGCAGGACCTCCTCCAGCATCAGTTGACTGCGGGTTAAACTCGATTTCCAGCTGCGAGACTGAGAATTGCAAAGGTTCGAGAGGTTTGACGATGTTTCGTCGACCAATACAGTACTCTGATCTTGGATCTCGGGTATAATCTCCTCGATTCGCAAATGACTCTCTTGTAACGATGGTTTGATCGGTGTGCTTGTTATCATACCGACATCTCTCGTTCGAACCTGTACGCGAATAATTGTTAACTCAATGCAATGAGTTTTGATAAATTTGAATATAAGTACATATTATTAAAGTACATTTTTGTTCAGAATTATATTTATATCTCCTTTTAAACACTAATTAGTTTCGACATAATTGCTATACAATCTTACATAAAATAGCGTAATATTGATTTTGAATATACATTGTTAATCGCTTTAAATATTACGAACCATTGCATACCGAGCAGATTATATTGCCGATGACATATCTGGGAAGTTTCAGAAAGAAACGCAGCATAGTATTAAAGAGCGGATACATGTTGTAATTAATATTTTTATAGTCTTCAATCTCGACGTATCTATTTTCAAATATTTACGCGAAATGTATACACGCGCGCGGAAACTTGACGATGTAAGAAAATGACACGGCGAAATAATATATCGCCATTAAATTCCGATTTTCACTTCTAATTAGAGATTAGAGAAGCAATCGATGCTCATTTCAGGAGATATATATAAATCGAATAATTTAATGAAAGATTTTAAAAAAGAAACTAAATATGTAATCTAAAAAAATTACATCAAATATAGATAGTATAGAAGTTCGTTTAAATTAATTTTAATATATAATGTTGATTATCTTTAATCCTAATTTGATTAGGTCCTTATTTATTATTTATTTTATAGAATTAAAAATAAATCATTTACATTACATTAAAAATAAATCAATTAAGTTCATGAAATTAGACAAAAGAATATTCTAAAAATATACAGTAAAGTTCAATAAAACCATTAAAGTTAATAAATTAACATATTAAAATAGCAACAAAAAATATAATATAAATTCTATAATATTTAATTAAATAATTTTAATAACAAATATTTAGAATTTCAAATTTTTTGTAGATAGAAAGCTATTTAAATAAATAAATAGTTTGCACGATATTTAAATAAAAATACAATTCTTACCGGTTGGTACGATACTCCGACATCCCTTGTCATCACGCCACACATGGTTCCCATGTCCCTGGTAGATACGCTTTCAGAGTTCTTCAGGTTTCGTAGGGGAGTACATTGTTCTGAAAACGACTGGCTGCGATGCCTGTGTAGGGTGTCATTGTAGGAATTCGTTTTACTCAGCTCGTCCACTTGCCGTAGAAGATTACGCTTCTCCTCTTTCAATACCGAGACTTGCACCTGCAAGAGGAAAAGAAAGAGATTACGTGTACAGTATTAGATAAGCTTAGCAATAGTATAGTTTTTTTTTTTATAGAGACTGATAAAATTGCGACGCGTGAGAAAACATGATTTTTAACACATGCGGAAGTAATAGAAATATTACATCAATTGAAAGAATACTACATAAATTACAGCAATAAAATAAATTCTATGTAATTATATTTTTAGATTAGATATCAATGGATAGAATAAGGAAATAGAATATTCTGCATTTTTTATATTAAATAAAATGAAATTAATACAAAATTGAATTAATACAAAAATAAAATACTAAAAATCTTTATCTTCTTTAATTTTATTATTTTTTATGTCAAGTTTATTATATTACAATTGGTAATAATTATTATACAGTATAAATATGAGTATAAATATAAATTCATGAAACATTTTTTTTTAAATGTGTAAGAACTTCATATTTTCGCATAGTTTATGAATACAAATGAATACAACGAGAAGTCGTCATAATAATAAGAACAACGAGATCATGATAAAGCAGCGGGAATATCTTACACACGAACGTTTCGCTAGAACGGAAGAGCTTGCCTGGGTGCAAATTACATGCCGGGCGATGAACATTACGAAAGCGTAGGTGGGAGAATAGGAAATTTGTGAGAACTCACCTGCAGCATGGGAATCGCCTTGACCTGTTCCTCCAACTCTTTCATTCGTTCCAGAGATGCCGCCATTTGTTCCCTGATATTCTGTAACATATAAAAAATATTATTACTCTCTCTCTCTCCTTGTTCTTATATTTTTTACAAAGTTGCATCAACTTATTTATATTATATACAATTAGAAGCTAAAGAATAAAAGGAGCTTGATAAGGACTTAATTATCAAGCCTAAGATTATAAGAAATATTTAATTAGAAACTATCAATTAAAACTAGGAATGATAGGGAATAATGTATAAAAATATTAAAAATCTTTTATAAGATAGTGGCAAGAATGAAATTATTAAGCAATTTTTCAATTTTCGGTCGCTCGAATTTTTTTCTTACAATAAATAAATTATAAAATAATGTATAATTTGTCGTAATATTATAATTATATTATAATTATATAGATATAATAAAGTATAAATTTTTCATACCTGAAGTGCGCCGGTACTAAGATTCGAATTGCCACTTCCAACGCTGGCGTTGTCAGAATCTGCCGGCTGGTCTGTCTGAGCCGCATTTTGCACCGGTGCCGTCCCATTTGTGCCATCTAGCGAAAAAAATCAGTCTTGGAAAACTGTACAATGTGCTTAATTATTCGATGCATTTCTTTTGCAAGAAATATTTTATTCATTTCTGAGAAAACGTGATTGCGCTTGAAACATCCACTTTAATCTCCCTCTTCGATCAACTCTGCCCTCCGGCTTTGTTAACCCTTTAACTAAGGAAGTTAATTTAAACTGATTCCTCTGCACGAGGGAGAGATTTTCAAAAAAATATACGCTTGAAAAATAAAATCTGTAATTGATACGTGTATTATTTAATATAATACTTATATATTTTTATTTTAAGAAACAAATAATAAAATAATTTCATTAATAAATTGATATTTTGTGCCTTTCTTTTTCTTTGTAACCTGTTAGAATCTACAGATATACAATAGAATCACACAAGAATATTTCTTAGAAATATTTCATTTAATATAGCTATTAATAATGTTGCTGTTTCTTTTAGCAATCATTGATTGGTCTTTTTTGCATATCATTACTTGATAATAGATGGAGAAGTATAATTAAATTTTTTGTCATCATTATTGTATATCGTTATATTATGTATTATTATTGCATATATGTATTATTATGCAACATTCACAATAAGCTAAGTTCACCTGTTCTGACGAAATGTTTTTTAATCGGCACTTGAGTAATTACCTTACAGAGCAGAACGTTATCTCGAAGAGAACAATGAAGAAATGCGACAGACATAGTCGTATGACAAATTCCTTTGACTTTTGTCGTGATATATCTCGTGGATTCGGTCGTCGCGATGCAAAATTTTCAGCACGCAATTCTTGACAAACGATGTGTTTGCACGAGATATTTCACAGTCTACAATCTTAATTTTAATAACATATTCTTTGGCATAATGTCTCCTCAAACTTAATGGAATATTATTTTAAGATTTAATGAGATTTGTAAAGATATTTAGCATTCGAAATGAAAAGTTGTGATAAACGATGACTTCCTTCCTCATTTTTACCAAGAAAAAATCGACTCTTAATTGAGGAGAAACTTATCATTAAAATTAAGGTCGCAAGGTTGCAGATTCTATATAAGTATATGCATCATCATTAATGTTGAAGCGTTCGAATCACGCATCACGCGCATTGCACATGTGGATTAAGTGAAATAAAAAGGCTAAATGCCGATCTCCAGCATCGTGAAAGTTTCATAGCAGAGACGAACATTTCTGCCGCATGCCTATCATGAGATCGCGATAAATTCGTCGCAAAGAGGAGCGAAAGAAATTAACAAGCAACCATCCGACTGTTGCGTGCCAAGAGTTACGTGTTCGCATGTCAGCTGAAGTTAGCTTTTGTCATAATAAAATAACCACTGTTTATTTAAAGACTTCCAGAAAATTACATTTTCAACAAAACGAAAGATTTATACGATCTAATTCTTCAATTAATAATCCTTTATTCTGAGCAAATGAAAATTGCGAATTTATGAAATGGATGCGTTATTTATGGATATGTTATTTATGGATGCGTTCGCTGCGATGCAGCTTCTTCTCTATATATCACTGCTCCTAAACTACATTTTGACCGATCGTTACGATAACGCAAATAAGATTTTTTTCGAACACTGACACTCCGATTTCGCGATGTCCCTGGCACTTCCATTTTTTGCTCGTTCACGTTTCAGGCAGATGCACTTGTCGAATATGGAAAAAGGCATCGCGCGCTGCTCGCGAATAGCGTAACATCGTGATCGGATGTCGGCATATAAAGAGGGAGAGAGCAACCGATCTTTGAGGTCGTTCGATTTCACGAGACGAGATAACGAATTCAACTCTTTTGATAACAAATTCACCTTGTTTACAGCTAGATAAATTATCTGTTAATTGCTTGCGCCGCTGCTAGCGACATTAATCAGACAGTATGACGATAAACAATGGCAGTCCATTCTACAATACCAGAGCGGTCAAATTATAAAAAAAAAAATACGTGCGCCAAGGTGAATGTTGCTGCAATCGTTGATACATCGTCTTAATTTGTTCTATTCAATATCTTTCTATTTTAGTTTAATTCGAAAATTATCGCGCATATTAATTGATCTCACAGAAGAAATCAAAATTACAAGCGAAAAATATTTTTGTCTGCAAAAGATGCAGATCATTGAAACGAACTCACGATATTTCCGTTTCGCCTTCATCTTCCAGAAGGGAATCTTCTTCATAATGAAATTCTTCACTCCCATTTTTGCCGTTTGTCGATGTCTTGTGAATCTATTGTGCTTGTCTGCGTGACTTTTCAGAAGGAGATGCAATTGTTATGATGAAACACTCGACACAATGTGTATTCCCGCGCGCCAACGTGAAGTTGCCGATTACTGTTTGTTGTTTACTTAATTCACAACTGTCGGGGAAGCCAGTTTTCAACGAAATTTATTCTTTGTTATTTCACCAATTAATAACATTTCGCGAGTAAATTAATTAAAGATAGCATCATTTTTATTATTTAATTGTTTCTCTAACGTTTCAAATCTATAATTATTTTGTTGTCAATTGTTCGATATTTCAAGAACACGATTCGTTTTTCGCCGTACTCGATATGCATTATCGTATTTTTCAATTTTAGAACAACGCGCGCTATCGCTTTGGGTTCAAATCATCAGCCAATATTATGTTTTCATTCATTATCTTACAAGGTCACAGATCTATTTTGAGAATTCAGCAATTCCTTTTTTTAAATATCGAATATTTGTCTCTACAGCCAATCGCGAGTCAGCATTCAAACGCAAAGATTACAGATTGGCAGGATGTATTTTTTACGGCCAACTTCACAGCGTCGCAGATCAATCGTTCGAAAAAGGAAGTGCACTCGCGTTGAAACCGCGCGTTAACACTCCGCTACGAAATCATCGGTCTTTCGCCGCACTGTCGATCGCGAAATCATTCTCGTAATCGTCCTCGCTCGCAATCTCGGCCGATTTCCCTCGATGACGAAGCCGTCGAGGAGTCCAGACTGTCCAGACGGTTCGTCGTCAACACGACGCGACGCGACGCGACGCGACGGCGACGGCGACGGCGACGTGCCCGCTACGACTCTTACGAGATTACTATATTATTTTCGTTTATTCCCCATTATACATTTTATTTCGGCGAATTGGGTCGCCGGGAGAACGTTATAACTCGGAGGGCGACTTTAAAGTCGCTCAGAATTGATGATATAATTGGCTCGACGAGGCAACGAGAGGCAATCACATCGTGTTTTGCGTAGGTAGACAAATTCGTTTCGTTCGTTCGCTCGCATTCGGCGGCCCGAATATACACCGATATACACCCGTCGCGGTTCTTCGCCGCTTCGACGACAGTTTGCGTTTGACTACTGTGATGCCGTCGAGCCGTCGAGCCTCGGCGAGCGCACCAACCGTTCGCATTAAAGGTGAATGGAGTAGGGGACGAAAGCCTCTCTTCCTTCGTTGGCCTCTTCTTCTTTTGATGCTCCACCGATTTGCTAATCGCGGGAAAAAAGCAACGTCTCGCGGTATCCGGGTCTTTCTCTGTGAACTGCTCGTTGCCGTGAAATGTCTCGACGATGACGCTCGAAGATTCAGCGAAATATTCAATTGATCGGTTTCTGTTTAATTTAATGCATTCACACAATCGATCTGATGAACTCATAATAAAAATCCGAAATATCCAAAATATCCGAAATATCAGAGTATTTAGCTCTACATTATTTATTTACGTTCTTTTAATCTACGTTCTTTCTTCTTATTATTCGCAAATTATTATATTTCAATTTTCACTGTTTTTTTTTGATAATTTAAGTTTATAACATTACATACATCCTTTAGACAAAGATGCAAAAACTTTTTTTACTTTTTAAATTGTAAACCAGTTACACTAAATACATATAATATAAATATATAGTTTATATTTAACGAATTTATAAGGCTGGGCATCCTGGATATTTCTCGCAAGAAATGAAGGGTTAATTGTGGTAGCAGGCAAGTTGCGGAAAAATAGCAAATAAACTTTTCCTGAAATTTATTCCAATTAAGAGATATAGTATACCTCGGCAAAATATTAATAATCACTATGAGTACATATTTGTATTCCGATTGGAATGATGATTTTTAAAGTGAAATTGTTTTGTATTAAATAAATTTCGCGTTCTTCTCCGAGAGAATGAGAAATAATTATTTATAATTATTGTTCATTGCGTTTGAAGAAGACTTTGGTAGGAGAGAAGTAAATCGAGTAATAGTTAATGGTATGTAAAAAATTAATAATTTACTCAAAAGAATTTGTATCCTGCGAACCTTTACAATTTTCGTATACTTTTATACGCGTCATTAATTAGTATTGCCTGCTAGTGATTACGTAATAACAACGAATTATCTACTATAATGTTGAAAATTAATATTCTTTATTATTTTTTTAAAAATAAAGATGTATTTATAAGAGGTATACGCAAAGAATTTTTACGTTTTACAAACACGATCACGTCCATCCAATATAAATCCAAAAATAATTATCGTAATTATGCAATAACGACTAAGATTCATTGAACGTTAATTAATTGAGGTATGTAATTTCTTGAATTAAACATACGAATGTTGTTGACGATTAAACATTGTATAATACATACATACAGCCGCCAAACAGGCAAGCAACGCCATTCGGGCAATTAATTAGGCTATTTGTCGCAATTACTTCGACACACGCAAGTACACGCGAGATCGAATCTTAAACATAACAAACGATAAATATTCACGATTACGACACGAAACATTTTGGTAAGATTTGCTTATATTATTTGTACCGTGCTGCGTGCGACATTATTTCCGATTACGCGCGGTCATTGAGTTTATGTCGATGCTTTAGCGATTTCGCGATCTTATTTTCGTTCATTCTCGATGTGCACGTGCTTCGAAAATAGTTGAACCAGTTGGGTACGTGCGTGTTTAGCTCGACAGGTGCAGGCGACCATATGTGACCACCTTGCCCGAGCAAGGTTGCATTGAAATGGCTAGGAACAGTGATGAAGTCACGCTATCCGAGCAATCGGCCTAGACTACCAACCATTTTGCATGTTACATTTGAAATTTTGAAATTCAATCGCTTTAATACTCTGTCGCGAGGACTCGGTTATTTTAAGCTCAGCGAGAGAAAATTTCGACGTCTCGTTTCAATTTATGAGACTGGCAAACACCTCGTTATTACCACGACACGCACCGTTTCGCTTTCTTAATCAGATACGACGTGATTGGAAATTGCTCCGAAATTTACACGCTATATGGAGTATGGAAATCATATTACATTAATATGAAAATGTATAAATTCTCTCTTACTTTAATTAAAATGTTATCAACATTCTTTTCTAATGCTATTTAACAAATATATTAAAAATGTGTAAATATAATAATTACGTAATGCGACCGTTACAAAAATCCAAAATACTGGCCGCAATTCAATACTAGAAGTTATTTATTTTGCACTTTTGTTCAATGCTTTTATTATTCAGAATAAATAATTAATCACTATCTTTTAATATTACATTTCTATGAGAGTAAACGTTTACTTTCTTACGAATTGATATCGTAGAGACTCGTTAAAAATGTATCTGTTATATATAAATACATACATTGGCTAATTGCGTGATGTATTTCGTGTGCATCGGCAAATAGACGATAATGCTCGAAAGGGTGTTGTACATCGCGGTCGGACGATGACAATGGCGATGTAACGGCAATGTAACCGCGGGGTAATACGGTTGCACCTCGTGGAAAACGCGGTGGCGGTAACCGCCATGCCAGCGGTACAACGACCGGAAGCAGGTGGTTCCAGCCACGCACCGTCGCGTCGCGTCGGCTTCCACCATCCACGTCGCGTTCCGCTGTTCCGCAGCGCGAGTCTCGCGAACTCGTATGATACGGTACGTACCTCCTCTTTGCGTGCCCGCCCGAGGAGAAACGACCGCTAGCTATCTTCGAATTGCTATTTAATAGCACGTAAAGCCGCAAGAAACTACCGCGACGTATTTTCATGTGGGATTTAATCGATGGGCGATGCCGAAGAAACTTGTTACGCGGTAGATCCGATCTCTGAGAGATGATTTGAAGTAGTATGTTATTATACTTTAAAATCTGTTAATTGGTTTAGAACGCGCGTTTTTGCGGATATTAACCTTAAGCTACCGATGTATCTTGAGCATCTTTCCTTTCGTTGTCAAGGACTGTAATTTATTATTCGTTTCTTTTTTCACGGAAACAATGGATGTTATTAAAAACTTTCTTTCACTTTGAAATATTTTCCGTTATCTGTGTTATCGATCTTGATTGATACTTGACTAATTGTTTTCCTCTGTATAATATTTCATTAGAGTATTTAGTAATATAATGATGAGAGATACATAGAGAAATAATTTCATGTATATATCATGTAAATATTCGCGAATTCACAATATACATGTAGTGAGAGCAGAATGTATTCGTACAAGAAAATTTTTTTAAAAAAGTCTTATTTGTAAAAATAAACATTAATTAACAATTTTATACAATGAATATATTCTATTCGAATATAAACAAACGAGCTTCGAATATATTCCTGATTTTAGAAGCTAAATTTCGACTATTCGAATACTTTTTGAGCATTCAAGCAATAGAATTTGTAATTTTCTTATTTTTCAGATGATATATTTTCTATAATTAAGACACATCTTTTTGGTATATATAATTTTAAGAAACATACAGTCTATTTTATTCTTTATGAATAAATTTACCTAACCAATGAACGTCAATTAAACATCGAATCGACATCGAATTGGTGTTGAAATTATCGTATCAATATTGATTCAACATCAATTTGTTGACTCATTTCTGGACAATATTTATTTTTTTTAAATAAAGTTTTTTTTTTAAAATATTTTCTCTATGAATACTTTTTGCATTCACTGTCACATCTAA